TAGCGACGCGGCAGAGGCGTACACAGCCGTCCGATCTTCCTTCATCATCATCATCAACGTCATCCTCTTACTCGAAGTTTGACAAGCCTCGGAGATCAGGTGGAGCGGAGGGGGAGGAACCCGAGCGCGGATTAGGATGGTTTCTGCCTTTGCTGGCCCTAGGAATGCTACGATACATGAGCGCCACATCAAATATCATACACGACTGTGACGAGGTCTTCAATTACTGGGAGCCTCTCCACTACCTTCTCTATAAAACCGGCTTCCAGACCTGGGAATATAGGTAACCCTACGTACATTTACACACTGTTTGTACATGCTCGAGTTGCTTTAGATATGTATATCTGTTTGTGTGTACAGAATGTAAAAATATTCTAGCTATTATTTTATGTTTTTGGAATGGCATTAGCTACTGCTGTTTCGCTTTTGTGATCCTTTAGTGTAGGTTTTCTTTCCATTTGGGGAGGCTGTATGGAATTTGAAGGATAAGAGGTTATGTGTGTTGTTCTTTTTTTTTTTTTTTAATAGAATTTATGTATTGTTTTTGGGATGTAGATGAATTGGTTATATTGGAGAAAAAGAAGTGAAGAGAAGAAGGAAATGTCATTTCTTTTTGGTTTTTGGTTTTGGGAAGTGAAATTTGAGTTAAATGATTGGAGGATTTTAAGGTTAATTCATTCCTGATATGAGAAATCTAATATATGAAATTTTGATTTCTTTTCATTTTTTCTTGGAATTCTTAACCGAATCTGGTTGTTAAGCCTACAGTTGATGCTATAGTTGAGTTGAGTTTTTTTTTAGCTGTAAATTTCTAGTTAGCTGATTCTTTAATGTAGCTCGAGGTTGATTCAGTTGGTCATACTAAGAGTTATATTTGGTGTTGAAAATATAAATGGAGCTTGGTCCTCCATTAAAACCTGACTCCTAGGTAAATGGAGCTTTAGGTTTGTTCCACTGAAACTTGACTCTGAAGCAGTGTTGTTTTCTTTTCTTGATGAAGATAACAAAAATTTGAACCCATTGTTCTCGTAGATATTCTTTTAGTAGCTCTTGTTACTTATGTTGCTGACATGAAATATATCTTTATTAGTCAGATACTTAGATGGTTGCCCCCGAATTTCGTTAAGAGAGTGCTAACGGAACATTAATCATTCCTCTATATCTTTCTCAGCTCCCAGTTCGCAC